AAAAAAAAAGTATGGGTCAAAACTCAGGAAGAGCCCTAATTGATCATCTAAGATCATGCAGAGCTATAAAATATAAAAGAAAGATGGCCAAGGGAGAAATCTTGAGAATGTTTGTTTACCTTTGAGTGGGAAAAGGAAAGAGCAAAGGAAACCAAAAAAATAGGTGAGAGAATCAGAAGTAAGAGTCATGAAAGAGAAACGAATTCAAAAGACAAAGGAGTATTTCATTTGTAGTAGTACTAAAAACAAGCCACTCAATTTATTCATTTATTGATTCTTCCAGCAAATATAAGTGCCTACAATAAGCCAAGTACCACATGAGGCATAAGATTTGATAATTACTAGTAAAGATAGGGAGAAAAATTTCATTAGTGGTGGAACTAAAAGTAGAATGGAATAGGCTGAGCACTTCAGAATGATTTAAAAAGTATTTTGTGCCTTTGAATCTAACACATGTAAATTCTAGCAATTAAAGTATATTTATAATCAACGAAAATCCTTCCTTAAAGTATTTGATGAATTGATTTCAACAATACCGTGTGGACCTACAAATACTTACCATTAGAAACAGCTCAATCTAACTTTATTAGTAAAAATATGTTCAATATTATTCCCTAAGTATTTCATATATAAAAATTCTGTCTCATTAATAAGAGGTTAGGCTCTGGGAAGAGAATAACAGAGATGAGTTCATTGCAGAGCAAAGTGGGCTTCAACATTAGTTGTTGAATTACGCTCAATAAGTATAAAATATTTTAGCAAAATGAAATGTTCACAGCAATAAGCCTCTTAATATTTATCACCTACATTAGACTTTTCCAGGTCATTGGCCTCTAACAGCTTCTGATCACATATCCTCATGTATGCAAAATATATTTGTGCATTCATCTTCAATGTGTATTTATATACAAGTATTACTAATCTAATAATCTATCCCATTAAAAAAGTAAAGGAGGGCATGTGTTGTGATGACCACTAGATGTTACACGCAACTAATGAATCATTGAACACTACATCAAAAACTGATGATGTACTATATGCTGGCTAACTGAACATTAAATAAATAAATAAACTTTATAAAAAAAAAGACCTTACTTACAAGTATATTTTAAAGAAAAATTAAGACCTACTGACTTACTGACAATGAAAGTGTCTTAAAAAATATCTAATAAATAAAACTCTATTACAGAACCTTTTAATATCAAATAAGCATATTGAAAATAATTCTTGCCTTTAGAAAGCAGCTTTCTAAATTTCTGTGTTGCTGTTAGCTGCTGATCAGCATTGTTAGAAAAAATCATCTGAACCATATCTGTGGTGATAACTTCTTCCTAAAACATAGAAAATATAACTTATCATTTAAATATTTTGCATGAATAACTGTTGCTATACCTACTACTTCTGAAACATTGTTGAAGTATAATTTGAAATACATTTTTCTGTATCTACCTCCGGAATGGGCACAGTGGAACTGATATCCGGATCCTGGATAGGACTTTCTAGCATAGATTCATCATTTCTGGGCAAAGAGACATTTCTGCGTTTGAACAACTGTAATAAAGAGAAATCACTTTATACACTGGGCTTTCCATAAAACACTGAATTCCCATAGAATTATATTTTTCATTTAAGTGAACAAAACAAACTGATCATTTAAAATTCTAAATATTTAGCATTTCTCAATCACTATACCATGAAGACCTAAATTATCTTTGAGAAGTTAAACTCTCCTGGTTTGGTTAGCTCTTACCTGCAGACTGCTTTGGGTCATTCTTAATCTCAGATCTTTTACCAATGGTTGGTCCCATAAGTGGAGTACACATTTACGTTTTATAGCATTTGAAAAAGCACATATGCTCACACTGGTATAAAAGATGTCTAAGAATTTTTCTAAGAAAATCTTAATAAAAAAGCAAATTAGTTACATGGGAGAAATATTGTGGTATATTAATAAACATATCAGATTAATAAGGAATAGAGAACTCTGAGGAAATATGGCCCTATCCTTTTTATTTCAGGAATGAATAAAAATTAAAAAAAAGAAAGAGAGGAGGAATGAGGCACAGTGAGGTCACTGAGGGGGATTTATGGATACATTTCCTATATCAAAATAGAGAAGAAAAAAATCTAGTATTTTCTTTTTGATAGCTAAAGAAATACTGCTCTTCTTCAACCAGTATACAGTTCTTTCTAATCATTCATTCAACAGATTTTTTTTTTGAGTCTCTACTATAATAAAGTAGGGACTGTGCTAGATACTGTAGATAGGGAGATGATGAATCATATTTCTAAAACAGGGCTTTCTCTACTTTCATCACTGCTAGTCCTTTCTACACATCAGTTTTTAATTCATGCATGTGAGGACTACACCCTCTTAATTATAAATACTTCTAAATTTAAGTATATCTTGGAATGAAAAATGTTGAGATGCACTCTTTGAACTGTTTTTCTATTCTTTATGTCACATATACAAAGTTCAAAACAGAGAAGGCTAAGAGAGCTAGACAGCTGACCAGACGACACAAGGAATAGTATGAGTAGCAGAGGAAGAGGACTAATTAACTTGGGAGCAAGAACTATGAAAACCACAAAGCAACAAATGAATACAATGTTTTTTGGGGGGGCAAATTTTACAATGACAAATGGAAGTGATCTACATAGGCTCAATAGTAAAAATTTCTTAACACTGGGATAAAATATGATTAACATAAAGTTTTATCAATAAAACAGAAAAGCTGCTCCTCTCAGTGATTAAAAACAGCACAGGATTCTGATTCATGAATTATTCCTGGAGTCTAGTAAATTAAAGAACAGATTTATTTATATTCAATTTCCTAAAAACACTTTTTCAAATTATCTAAAAATAAGCAATAATAATGTAACTTCTAAAATCTATATATTGATGCTTCTGTGTTAAACATTTAAATATTTTAAAACACCTACCTGCTCTTCCCTTTTTTGTTTTCGAAGCTGTATTCCTTCTTCTTCTCTTCGTCTACGCATCTCTTGGGGATTTAGGGCTTTATTCTTGTAACTTTTCATTCTATAGTTATCTTTCCCTGGACTAGCCATGGCATCTTAAGGTTAGGAGAGAAGAAAACAGATACTGATAACTCTCAAAACAACATGAGATGTTTACTAGGAAAATTAAGTTCATGCTTACTACTTAAATAGACTGACAAAATCAATTCTGAAAATTATGTACAAAGAATACATTTCCCTCACACCCATATCAAAATTGGAGCAAAGTGACGAAATATTTTTGGACTAAAGTATCAAACAAATAATAGATTTTGGTCTAAACACAGATAAAAACTCATTACCCTAACTTCACTGATTTTAAGATGTACTCCCCAATGCCTGGTGTTTTAACCTTTCTGAAGTGGGATGCATCTTAAAATCACTGTCAGCCAGGATATAATCAATCATGAAATAGTTGGGTAAAAAACTTCTACAGCTCCTGGCAAGATCAAAAGATAGCCAGAGTGAAGTATCTTATTTTCAATGGAATATGATCTTAGGCTTCAATAAGCATCCCTCAAATATTTTGGCGGGGTCTGGCTTCTTTAATTTACTTAAGGTGCTGTCTTCAGAACTAAGGCTGCATAGGTCATGACTTCAGTCATGACTGCAAAAATAATTTGAAATACTAGGATATAATTCTTTTTAAATACTGAAATACTTGTATACTTTATTTTTAAGTAGTTTTATTATAAATGTATTTGAAAACATTAACATTTATATAAACATATTCTTACAAGTATATTTATAATATTTTACATAACATTTTACATTTAAAATAATAAGACAATTTTACTTTTAGAAACCAGAGAGAATGTTGTGATCAATTAACACTCAGGAAGAAACAGAAGAAAAGGAAAGGCTGGCATTTATCTGCCATCTCTGATGTCGAAGATAGACTACTGAACTCGTAAATTATACTCTAAGTAGTAAAGTACACTAAAACATATGCATTAAATCCTGTGAGAGCATAGAAGAAATAGCAACTAACTGTGCCTTAGGGAGCTCTGATGGTTATCTTAAAAGAGCAAGAATTTGTCAGGGAAGAGGATGAAAAGGGAAAATCAGGAAGGAAGAAGCACTTCAAGCGGGGGGAATATATGCAAAGGCAAAGAGTTCTTGCAGAAGACTGGCATAAACGCAAAACAGTAAGAGATTAAGTGTGCCTAAACAAGATTTGTGGGAGAAAAGGCAGAAGGTAAAGCTAGAAAGGTAACTAAGAACACATATGGTTCCTGCAATCAGGTTGGGAAATTTGGATTTGGTCCTAAGTAACAATTAAAAAAACTGAAAAGAACATTGTTTCGAACTTTGATGATGAAGACCTGAACTAAATTAGCAGCTGCACTGAGAATGGTTGGTTTCCAAAACATTGCAGAAATTGATTCAATAAGAATTAGAGACCAAATAAATGTAAGGAATATGTGGTGAAGAGGAAAAAAGAGATTAGGATGACTCCATGGTTTTTAGCTCGATCTATATCAGTATGGCAACAAAATAAGCCAAGACAGGAAATAAAGATGGAGTATCAGAGTGATGGTTTTGTTTGATTGCCTGCTTGTTTTTGAGATGAAAACAATGAATTGTTTTATTTTTAAATTTTTTTTAAAGGTTTTATTTATTTGTCAGAGAGAGAGAGACGGAAAGAGAGAGAGAGCGGCAGGCCCAGGGAGAAACAGGCTCCCTGCTGAGCAAGGAGCCCGATACAGGACTTGATCCCAGGACCCTGGGATCTCGACCCGAGCCAAAGGCAGACACTTAACCAACTAAGACACCCAGCTGTCCCTATTTTTTAATTTATATACAGTAAAAAAATCACTCTTTTGGTATAAAGTTCTATGAATCTGACAAATGCATAGGCATAAAACTATCACAATCAAGATACAGAACAGCTCCATGACCCCTAAAAAACCTGGTCATGCTGCTCCTAGTAACCCCTCTTCCACCCTTAATACCTGGTAACCACTGATTGGTTCTCCATCTTCACAGTTCTTACTTTTCTTGAATTTCACCATAAATGGAATAATAACAGTATATAGTCTTAAATTGGCTTCTTTTATTTAGCACAGTGTATTTGTGAGATCCATACTGTTGGCATAGACAAGTAATTTATTCCTTCTTATTGCTGAGTAGTATTCTATTGCATAGATACTTCACAGTTTATCCATTCATTAGTTGAAGGACGTTTAGGTTGTTTCTAGTTTAGTGCAGTTATGAATAAATCTGTTATAAATATTCATGTACAGGTTTTTGTGTAAATATAAGTTTTCATTTGTCTCAGGTAAATATTTAGAAGTAGCACTGATGGATAATACGGCAAGTGTACGCTTCACATTTTATAAGAAACTGCCAAACTGCAAAGTATTCCATCAGCAATGTATAAGACTTCCTGTTGCTCTATGCTCCGCGTACACTTGGTATTGTCATATTTTGTTGGTAATTGTAGCCATTCTAATAGATGTATAGTAACTTTCATTTTAAACGTGTTATACTTATATAATACTTAGGGCACATACAGGAGATTAAGACCTAGGACAGTTAAAAGTATGGGTCAAGGGGCTCCTGGGTGGCTCAGTTGGTTAAGCATCTGCCTTCGGCTTGGGTCATGATCCCAGGATCATGCTCAGCAGGGAGCCTGCTTCTCCCTCTCCCTCTGCCTGCCACTCCCCCTGCTAGTGCTCTCTCTCTGTGTCAAGTAAAATAAATAAAACTTAAAAAAAAAAGTATGGGTCAAAACTCAGGAAGAGCCCTAATTGATCATCTAAGATCATGCAGAGCTATAAAATATAAAAGAAAGATGGCCAAGGGAGAAATCTTGAGAATGTTTGTTTACCTTTGAGTGGGAAAAGGAAAGAGCAAAGGAAACCAAAAAAATAGGTGAGAGAATCAGAAGTAAGAGTCATGAAAGAGAAACGAATTCAAAAGACAAAGGAGTATTTCATTTGTAGTAGTACTAAAAACAAGCCACTCAATTTATTCATTTATTGATTCTTCCAGCAAATATAAGTGCCTACAATAAGCCAAGTACCACATGAGGCATAAGATTTGATAATTACTAGTAAAGATAGGGAGAAAAATTTCATTAGTGGTGGAACTAAAAGTAGAATGGAATAGGCTGAGCACTTCAGAATGATTTAAAAAGTATTTTGTGCCTTTGAATCTAACACATGTAAATTCTAGCAATTAAAGTATATTTATAATCAACGAAAATCCTTCCTTAAAGTATTTGATGAATTGATTTCAACAATACCGTGTGGACCTACAAATACTTACCATTAGAAACAGCTCAATCTAACTTTATTAGTAAAAATATGTTCAATATTATTCCCTAAGTATTTCATATATAAAAATTCTGTCTCATTAATAAGAGGTTAGGCTCTGGGAAGAGAATAACAGAGATGAGTTCATTGCAGAGCAAAGTGGGCTTCAACATTAGTTGTTGAATTACGCTCAATAAGTATAAAATATTTTAGCAAAATGAAATGTTCACAGCAATAAGCCTCTTAATATTTATCACCTACATTAGACTTTTCCAGGTCATTGGCCTCTAACAGCTTCTGATCACATATCCTCATGTATGCAAAATATATTTGTGCATTCATCTTCAATGTGTATTTATATACAAGTATTACTAATCTAATAATCTATCCCATTAAAAAAGTAAAGGAGGGCATGTGTTGTGATGACCACTAGATGTTACACGCAACTAATGAATCATTGAACACTACATCAAAAACTGATGATGTACTATATGCTGGCTAACTGAACATTAAATAAATAAATAAATAAATAAATAAATAAATAAATAAATAAATAAATAAAATTAGAAAATTTTTAGAAAGAAATACTTCTAAAAGGTAAAGAAACAAGTTCTAATATTTTCTCCCCATATCTGATTCAATTACCTTGTGCCTCCACAACCTACACACGGGACACTTCTTTTAAAACCATTAATCTAGGTGACCACATTAAAACCTTTAATATAAATATGTTAACCAAATAAAATCTACCCCCAACAACTCATATATCATTTGTTCCTTTTTCTGATGTCGTGCTAACTTCTTATTTAACACATGCATCCTCACTACAGTTGCTTTAAAAGGGACATAAAGTCCAAGAAAAATCATCTCTAAAGGTGCATGACCCAACAGGATTGTTCCCTTTTCTGGAAAATAACTTTAAAAGACTGTATTTCAAAGGCTGCTATCTCATAAAAGTTATTTTAAATATGAGAAATGCTATTCAGCTACTTTAAATCCGCAACAGAGGGATTTTTTTCTTTTTTCTCTCAAAAGCTTATTTTTCACTCAGCTCTTTGAAAAACTGTTTTGAGGTTGGGAAAGTAACTGGAATTCGAACTTTTTCTAGTATCTATTAACGGAACTTCTTGTGTCCCTAAAGACTCCATTTCTACGGTTTGGGTGCATATTAGTACAATTATACATCGGTACAAAAGGGTAAGAGTGCTGACTAGAGCCCCTACAATCAAACAAGCAGTACTTAAAGACAGAAAGGGCAGAGCTGCTTCTTGTTTACCAAGGAAGAAAGTCGCTTTATGAATCACTGAGTGTAATTAAGATATCAAATCAGAGGTTTAAAAAAAATTAAAAAATGTTTTAAAAGCCTAAGAGTAAATGTTGATGTCGTATTCTTTTGAAGTATCACTATCGCCTTTCACAGCTGTCAAATCCTTCATCTCTTATGCATTACCGAGGAAGCACTTATTCAATTTTCATCTTGGAAGGGAGCTGACAGGCTATTAGAGAGAAGCATCTAACCCACGCCTGCCGGCGTCGACACTGAGCCCTCCGAGGCACCTGCATCCAGCTGGAGGAAGACAGCTGGAGGAACGCTACGGTGAGACAATTAACACCCGCCGCAGGGCCACCACTGCCGTATTCTGGACACTGTGGAACTTCTAATATGCTGCCGGACTCACACAGACGCTGAGTCCCAGGAGTGAATGGCAACGTTTGACAAGACCCGGTACCGAGAACAGGAACTACCAAGGCGCGGAGAAGCAGAACGGCAGGAGGATGAGCTCGGCTGTTTAAGGCTCCTTCCGAGGGCCAGCCTGGCTGACTGCGAGGATCTGTATTCTCCACACCTTCGCGTCAGCAAGGAATAGGTCCGGCTGCCACGCCCCCGCCACCGCGGTCTCCCTCAGGGGAACCTGAGGAAAAAGACCTGGCAGCATGGCCTGGTCCTCAAGCCTTCGCAAGGAAAGGGGTAAATAAAAACAGTGGCCCCTGGAACCAGTAACTCCCAAAGGGACCAAACCCGAGGTTCACCCAAACTGGCCTGTGTCACTCCCACTTACCCATTAATGTGGCAATACCCGGTGTCTTAACTTCCCGGCTCCCGGTTGCGGCGTCCGCTGCAGGTAACAGTGGGGTCGCCACTCCGCCCCTAGCGTTGAGCGTAACGACAAGGTTCGCAACTCAAGATGGCGGCTACCTGCGCCCCTTCCCCGAGACCCCGAGGCTCGGCTCCCAGAAGCCCTTGCAAGCGGCGACCGCAGTGGTGGCGGCGGTAGGGGCACCGACCGGCAGAGAGGCGGAGAGAAGCGAGCGCCCCAGCTCCACCCACCGAAGGAGGAGCAGGCCGCTGCGCTGACTCCGGGATTTTAAAAGGGCGCGGTCGCGGTGGCAGCAGTGTGTCCTACTGCCCTACTCCTCTGTGCGAGCTCTCATTCATTCACTCATTCGTTGGTTTAGTTTATTCGGTCCTACAAAATAGTATTGATGGAGGGCCTAATCCGTGCTAGGCACTGTTTTAGATATCAGAGCTGCTACAGTGTACACAACGGAAAAATTCCAACCTCGTGGAGCTTTACAGAGGCTCTTTCCTTCTTCAGCTGCTTTAACCTCTTCCTGTAAATTTGCCATTTATTTAAAATTTGGATTCTATAACATTTGTGGATTTTTAACAAAAAAGTAGTCACTGATATGTGAAATAAATAATTCCAAATAAAGAATTCTAAATTATTGTAACACACATAGCTTTGTAATCCACCCTGGAGTTCAACAAACAGCACTGAAAAGAGACTATCTTCTAGAATAGAGAAGATAAAAAACACATGATTCCTGCCCTGAGGAAGATCCTGTTTTCTATCTCTTGTTCTTTTTTTCTTTTCTAAGAAATTTCTTGGGCTATCTTCCAGCTCTGGATTTAGATGGATAGATGATAGATAGATAGATAATAGATAGATGGTAGGTAGGTAGATAGATAGATTCTGCTATTGTATTTTTTAATTCTGCTGTTGTATTTTTAATCCCAAGAGCTATTTCCTATTTTTAATTCAGGAATTAAATATCTTTTTTTTTTGTCTCTCTGAAGATATTGACTGTAGTTGCCTTGAAGTATTTTTTTTTTCCCCTTCATTCATTGTCTCTGATTCTTCAGAGTGTTTTCCTTTTTGATCATTTTGGTTTTAATCTTTCCTGCCACAGGTGTACTCTAAAGCCTGGTGATCCTTGAGTATCCATTCATATTTAAGAGTGAGACACTAAAGAAAACTATTGTAAACTTGTGTATTAGCTGATTGTTTACTTGCCAATTGTTGCCCTCCCTATGGAGTAATAACATGGGATCTTCGCTGTTTCATTGGAGGACTTTCTAAAAGCCCTTATCTGTAGGTCTTTTCTCTCAGACCCATGATTTTCCCTGGAGAAGAATTTTCTAATCTTACTAGAAGGCACATATCAGACATCAGAATGTGATGTGGGGGGGGATGGCCTCATAATTCAGTATTTAGCTTTCACTATTCCCCACTTACAGTCCAACACCTTGACTCCCCCTCTCCCCCACTCTTAGCTGTGCATTTCTGACTTAATTGCCTTTCTGGTTCGTTTTCTTCATGAAACCAAACCTATACCCTTCTGTCTTGGAGGGAAAGATCAGTCACTTGGCCACCCGGTAATGGAGGAAATCTGGAGGTAGGGCACTAACTGCTCCTTATTCAGACTTTTCAGCAAAATGTTCCTCTTTTCAGGCCCAGTTTTAGTATGTTTTTTAGAAGTATCTGGTCTTTAATTTCTGAACATTTCCAGAATTCTGGTGTATAAACCCATTTGTTTTTGTTGACTTCTCTTAGGCAAGTTAGTTACTACTCATCCATCCTTTTTCTAGCTTTCAAATGTTATTAAAATCTCATTAGCATTTATTTTTATTGTTTTTATTCTGTCATTTTAGTAGATTTTGAGAGGCAGGGAATATAGATGTACATGTTCAGTCTGCCATATTGAACCACAAAATCCCTCATATATTGTACATTATCAGATTATGCCACTCTCCTGTTTAAATATTACAAAACTTTCTACAAGAGCCTACATGATTTAGCCTCTGTCTTGATATACCGTGGCAGTCAAGCGTTAGGGTATTGTGTACTCGTGTAATGTCCTAGTACCCGTCGTAGGAATTCATTCTGAAAATTCTCAGCGCCTTGTGTGCCTCCTAGTAAATTAGGAGTCAGCACCCTGAACCGAGGATGCAAAAAAGACTACGACTCCCAGAAAACACTACAACCCAGACCGACGTGGAGCAGTGCACGCTGGGAGTCTTTTCCTTCCGGGTGACAAAGGAAAAGCTTTTTTTGAATGTAATAATGGAAGTGAAAGTATTTTGGAGGCGCTGGTTCTTGTCTTGGTTAACTGTGAATCTCTGGGTGTAGGGAGGGCCTGTCCCAATCTTCCAGGCCGGGAAAGGTAATCGGCGCTGAACGTGCACGTCTCTGCGGGAGAGCCAGACGGCGTCCGCGCCCGACCCGAAGGGGAAGCCAACCATAAGGCAGTGTGGCCGCGGCCGGATCTTTGGGCCGGTAGGAACTAACGGTCCCTTCCCTTATTCCCCCGGCCTCAACTTTGACCCAGTCAGTGTCTGGGCCGGTTTCGGGTCCTGGACATTGGCGCGGACTTTTGGGCAGATTGGACCTTGTGGCATTTGGCCTTTACGGCTTGTCTCACCTCCTGCCCAGCCTGTCACCTGTCATAGCCTCCTTACATCTCTCACCCACTTGATAGGATCAGAGTGTTTGGGAGTTCAAGCGTATCCCTCTGTCTAGCCGTGTCCCAGCCTCGGGAAAAGAAGAAACTGTGACGTTCTTTCCACTGGTGGTTTGGGAGAATTAACTTCTAAAATCGGAAACTATTTTCACTTGTCTGAAGGGGAATAAGAAACATAAGGACAACGTAGGAAGTTCTTACAAAGCTAAATTTATTCAAATAATGGGAATAGTTTCCTTATTTTTCTTTTCGTTTTTAAATGATCCTTAGCTGAACGACATAGGAAGGTTGTGGCTGTGAGTGCTGTTTAAAAATTCTAAACAAAATCACCTTTTGTCCATACCCAGTACTTTATTGGTCCATAAAACCTTGAAGTGACTGCTGATTTAGTACAATTCATTTTATAGACCAAACCTCAAAGACATGAGCTGTCTTACCTAAAATACTGAAACGTGAGATTGCAATCCAGTTCTCTTGGTTCTGGAATCAGTGTTCTTTGCTACCATGGTCACTCTTTTTATTTGGGTTGAGAGGACAGCGTTTGGAGCCTGACTGAGTTGGCATTTTGGCTGACCATTTTCTGGCCTTGGTGACCTATCTGAGCCAGGGTTTCCTCCATATAGGATGATAGTAATGCTACTTAAATTACTTTGATATATCTAAAGCTCTTTAACTGTTAACTCCTGTTAGTAAGATGTATTTATTTACCCTCCCCATTGTTAACAACTTTAAGTTTCTGTATTTAGATAGACCAGTTGATAAGATTTCTTTTCATTTTCTCTTAACTGACTTGCCATACTTGGGCAATTTTATAAACATTATTTTCTTCTCTCCCTCACACCAGACATGCTTTTTGAAATATATTAAAAATTATTTAATTTGAACTATTATTGCCTTTATTTTATTGAAACCCTAAACTTAAAATATAGTAGAGTAATTTTGGTTGAGATTTATAATGAAGTTTGTACATGTGAGGAAACGTTAAGTACATCAAAAATATCTTCATCCAAATATTCCAGCTTTTAAATATTTGTTAAAAATCTATTTCAAATCATTTTATAGAATGCATTTTTTTCTTCAGTCTTTCAAACTTAAAATATTATATTCTTTTCTAGCTATCTGATGTACTATGCTTTCTTGTGATATTTGTGGTGAAACAGTAACCTCAGAACCAGACATGAAGGCTCACCTCCTAATTGTTCACATGGAAAATGAAGTTATATGTCCATTTTGCAAGTTGTCAGGCGTGAATTATGATGAAATGTGTTTTCATATTGAAACTGCTCATTTTGAGCAAAATGAACTAGAAAGAAGCTTTGCAAGGATCAATACAATACAGATTAGAACTTCAGATAACAGGAAAGACAACACCTTACAGTGTAGAATGGAAGTTAATTCTAGTGTCCATTCAGCTTGTGCATCTAATCATCCAAAAATTTCAGCTCAAAGCCTGCCTAATGATGGTACTTTAAAACATAAAGCCTTTTATTCGGAGAACTTAACTGAATCTAGAAAATTCCTTAAAAGTAAGGAAAAAGAGTATGACCCATCTAAAATAAAAGGATCAATTTATGAAACAACGTATAGTCCTCCCGAATGTCCGTTCTGCGGAAGAATAGAAGATTGTAGTCAAGATATGGAAAATCATGTGAAAACAAAGCATGCTGATCTTTTAGACACTCCATCAGAAGGTAAGATACTCATTTTATGTAATAAGTAACAGTAGTGTCAGTTTAATATGTGGTGTCCTAGAAGTTGGTTTGTAAATCAGATTACTGCAAATGTGTTTTTTTAAATTCAGCTTATAACATTGTTCATTTGCTATTATTACAATATAAAAATACAATTGTGGAAAAGATTTTTTTATTCAGATAATAAATGTTTCAGCTACACTGAGAGTAGTTTTAGAACCTTTCTGAGGAGGAATATACTCAGAGTCCATTTTTCAGAGGGCATTCTCATAACACCAGCCCAGGGGCATCTGAACTGTCTTGGACTCTGATTTTCTGTGGCTCTGAGTTTCACTCCCTTATGATCAGAGAACACACTCTATGATTTTAGTTCTTTTAAATGTGTTGAAACTTGTTTTATCTACCAAGATATTGTATATGATCTATCTTGGTACATATTCCATGGACACTTGGGAAAGAGAAATATATTCTGCTGTTGTTGTCAATGGTTGAGTGTTCTAAATTTGTCATTTAGATCATTTTGTTTGTATTCAGATCTTCTATATCCTTGCTGATTTCCTGTCTAGCCTTTTTTGAAAGGAGGTTGTTGAAGTCCACGATTATAATTGTGTATTTGTCTATTTTCCCTTTCAGCCCTCTCAGGCTTTATCTCTTTGGAGGCTGTCTTGTTGGTGAATACAGTACATTTAGAATCATCTCTTTTTCTTTACTGTTGAATTTTAAGAATAATTTGTTTATTTTGGATACAAGTCCTTTATCAGATATGCGTTTTGCAGATATTTCTCTCAGTCTGGAGCTTGTCTTTTCATTCTCTTAACTGTTTTTCACAGAGCAGAGTTTTAACTTTTAATGAAGTGCAACTTACTTGATTTCTTCATTTATGGATTGTGCTTTTGATGTTGTATCTAAAAACTCATCACCAAACTCAAGGTCATCTTTCCTAGGTTATCTTCTAGAAGTTTTATAGTTACGAATTTTACATTTAAGTCTGTGATCCATTTGAGTTATTTTTTTAAAAGGTGTAAGGAAAGTGTCTAGATTCACTTTTTTAAAATTAATAAATGTTATTTTTTAGAGCAGTTTCAGGTTCACAGCAAAATTAAGGAAGAAGTACAGAGAATTCCATGTACTTACTGTCCTCATATACTCACAACCTCCTCCACTATCAATATCTGTACCAAGTGATACATTTGTTATAATCAATGAACTTACACTGACCCATCATTATCACCCAAAGTCCATAGTTTCCATTAAGGTTCATTCTTGGTGTTGTATATTCTATAGGTTTTGACAAATGTGTAATAACAACTACCCACCATTTTAGTTATCATGCAGAAGAGTTTCACTTCCCTAAAAATCCTCTGTGCTCCATCTAGTCACCCCTCCCCAACCCTAACCCCTGGCAATCACAGATCTTTCTACTATCTCTGTATTTTTGCCTTTTTCAGAATGTCATTGGAATCATACAGTATATAGCTTTTTCAGACTGATGTCTTTTACTTAGTAATATGCATTTAAGTTTTTCTCCATGACTTTTCATGGCGTGATAGCTCTTTTTTTTAGGGCTGAATAATATTACATTGTCTGGATGTACTACAGTATATTTATCCATTCACCAACGGAAAAACATCTTGGTTGTTTCCAAGTTTTGGCAATTAGGAATAAAGCTGCTTTAAATATCCACATGCAGGTTTATATATGGACAGAAATTTTCTATTCACTTGGGTAAATACCAAGGAATGTGATTAATGGATTGTATAATAATAGTGTGTTTAGTTTTAATAAGAAACTGCCAGACTCTTTCACAGTGGCAGTGAATGAGATTTCCTGTTGCTCCACATCCTCACCAGCATTTGGTGTTGTCAGTGTTCCAGATTGTGGCCATTCTAATATTTGTGTTGTGGTATCTCATCTTAATTTAATTTGAAGTGTTCTCTCATAAACATAAATGAACATCTTTTTGTATGCCTAGTTACCATCTGTATATCTTCTTTGGTAAAGTGTCTGTGAAGGTCTTCAGCCCACATTTTAATCTGGTTTTGGTTTTCTTATTGTTGATTTTTAAGAGTTCTTTGTGTATTTTTTTTTAATTTTTTATTGTTATGTTAATCACCATACATTACATCATTAGTTTTGGATGTAGTGTTCCATGATTCATTGTTTGTGCATAACACCCAGTGCTCCACGCAGAACGTGCCCTCTCTAATACCCATCACCAGGCTAACTCATCCCCCCAGCCCCCTCCCCTCTAGAACCCTCAGTTTGTTTTTCAGAGTCCATCGTCTCTCTTGGTTGGTCTCCCCCTCCGATTTCCGCCCCTTCATTCTTCCCCTCCTGCTATCTTCTTCTTCTTTTTTTCTTTTCTTAACATATATTGCATTATTTGTTTCAGAGATACAGACTGTGATTCAACAGTCTTGCACAATTCACAGCACTCGCCATAGCACATACCCTCCCCAATGTCTATCACCCAGCC